AATTAAAAGCAACAAGCAAAAATTGTAGGGAACTTTAACGAAAAACATCCGGTACTGTTCACTTTAACGAAAAACCACATTTTTACACTAAAAAGTCAATTCTGGTACTATTCACTTTACCCTTTATTTTGTCCTTATCATTAAAACTTAAAGTTTTCAAGCCCTTTTCATTAGTTTTCCTAAAATTGTATAGTATCATATAAAGTTCGAATACAGAGATCTACATGTATGTCATCCCGAAACGAAACTGATCTGTTGAAGAAAAGGTCATGCTCAAACTTATGGAGATAAATACAAGTCAATGCAAAAAATAAAAATAAAAAGCCATCAAATGCAAAGGTAAATTATCACTTTTAGTCCATGAAATTTAATTGAAGTTCACTTTTGTTCTATGTCTCAATATTAGTCTCGTTTAAGGGAAAAATTACAATTTTCATCCATATAGTTACGAGAAGATATGTGCCACATGTATGGGCAATTTAGTCATTTTGGGACAAAACTTGTTTTGTGATACTTTTGTTAATTTTATTTTCATAAATTTTTTTTTTTTTAGAAAAACTAATGAAAAGGGCTTGAAAATTTTGAGTTTTAACGGTAAGGACAAAATAAAGGGTAAAGTGAATAGTACCATGATTGATTTTTTAGTGTAAAAATGTGGTTTTTCGTTAAAGTGAATAGTACCGAGAGCTTTTTGTTAAAGCTCATTTTTTTTAACAAACGATATTATCTACCCTAAGGGGAAGGGAGTGGGTTTAGCCTCACAATGAGCTAACAATAATTTGGTTCCAATTCACATTTGGAGAGAATCGAATCGAAGACTTCTCACTTACAAGTGAAGAGGAATACCATTCGATCATAATTGGCAGAATTTTGCTATTTTAAATATCGAACAATTCACTTTAAAATAAAATATATATATATTTGAAATATAATGTGTAACAACGCTCCAAATTCATAAACCCTAAGGGTGTGTTTGTTTCCCTTCACTAGCCCTCACTGGACTGGACTAGACTAATAGTTAGTCTAGTCCCATGTTTGTTATTCATAGGACTAGCTTTAGTGGGAGTAAGTCGGACTCGCCTCGACTAAGGACCATGCCAGACGGTCTTAGCGAGAGATGTCGTGAACCATGAGACTAGCTAATCCCTTCGATCGCTCTATGCTCGCATCCTCTACTCTCCTCTATGCTCGCGTTCTCTCCCTCTTTCCTCATCCCTAACCCTGAATCGTGAACAAAGACCTCGATTCAAACTTCAATCGGAGAACTCACGAGCTCCTTTGTCCGGTTCACCTCCGCTCAGACCAAGCTCATTAGTCGCGTCGTCCGATTGGGCTCCTTCCTCCTAGACCTCAATTTTCGACAGCAAAGACTTCGAGCTCCGTCCTCCTTGACCTCTTCCACTGCTACCTCTACTCCGCTTTGCCCTTCACATCTCTTTCTTCCCTGCTTTCCACAACCAGAAAACCCATAAAAATTGAACTCAGAAAACCCAGAAAAATTGAACCTAGAAAACCCAGAAAAAGGAAAGGGGAAAAAGACAGTGGCACAAATAAAATGGCAGAGAAAGAGGAGAGAGGAGAGAAGCAGTGGGTGGACAAAAAAAAAGAGAAATGAAGATGAAATGGCAGAGAAAGAGGAGAGGGGAGGGATGCAATGGGCAGACAAAAAAATGAGAGAGGAATATGACCCTAGAAAGGAAGATAAAATGGCAGAGAAATAGGATAAGGGAGGGATGAAGTGGGCGGACAAAAAAATGAGAGAACAAGATGATTCTAGAAAGGAAATGATAATTTAATAATAAAATGTTAGTATATATAGATTAAATTAATGATAAAATATTGTAAATATAAATTTACTAATATAATATATGAGTCTTGCTTTTTAGTCCGACACTGCACCAAACGTTTCACTAAGTCAGTCCAGCTTAGTTAGTCTAGTTTAAGTCAGTCCAGCTTAGTCTTTGAAGCTAGTCCAGTCCGAGATAATCCGGTGCAACAAACACACCTTAAGTTTACTACACCAATTAGACTATTACTGTTGTAAACTCAATTTTTAAAAGGGGTGCGAGGGGGCAACAAGAAAAAGAAAACTCAGGTGTAAGAGAAATTGTGTTTTCACCTCATGTGGTTGCACCTTTATTTATATTAATTATGATGACCTTCTTTGCTTTGCAATTAATACAAAGCCTATGAGGATTTGATCTCCAAATTCCATTGGGATCTTTTTTTTAGAGTATACACAATCACATACGTAATTAACCAGGCCGATCCTAAGACTTGAGGCCCGGGGCAACCCTAAAAATGTGTCCTAACTTCAATAAGAAAAATTATTTGTTTTCATACGTAAGACTTTGATAAAATTATGCTTAGAAAAGCACTTCAAACTCAATAATTTAGACCCAAATTTTTTTTAATTTATTTTGTATTGAGATGAGGGAACCAAAAGACCCCAGGCTTACAAATAGATAGATGATGAGTTTTGTTTCCATTTTAAAGTGTTTTTATATAACTCGTGAGATGTTTTTTCTTATTTACTAACCTTGTCAATAGGGGACTAAAAAAATAATCATATTTTTGAATCTTTAGTTGATATATATATATGCAATGAATGAGACATGCATCCATTATTTTCTTCAGGCTAATACTAGGGATACCAAATTTTTAAATCAAATTTTGTAAACTGTATAATGTGATAGTTGATAATTGGATTATTACTTAAGTGTTGATTAACGTGCTTATTTCTTATTAGTGGCAAGTCATATGTGTTGCAAATTTGGTCTAAAAATTTGGTCTACACATTACTCTTTGTTGAAGGTGGTTAGATCTTGAATTGGAATGAATGTCTAAAAATTGCAACCCACACAGCTACTAGTTAGCAATTAAAAATAAATTAACAACCAAACAGAAATTGGTAAAAATAGGAAAGAATGAAAAAAAGCACATAACATTTCAAACTTAAGACCTTTCGTTTATTTTAAACACAAAAATAATTGGTTTTGATTAAACTTCTCGATCATTTAACCAAAATTTTAAAAATTTATACTCTTATGAAAAGAAATTCCAAAATTTGAATTTTTTTATACTCTTATGAAAAGAAATTCATAAAAAATGGAAAATAAAAAAACACACATAATGTTTTGAATCCGAGACCTCTTTGTTAATTTCAAACATAATGAACCACCACTTCTAGTTAAACTTTTTAATTATTTGACCAAATTTTATAAATTTATACCCTTATAAAAAAAATTCGTAAACATTAGAAAGTAAATAAACCTATAATAATTTGAACCCAGGATCTCTTTGTTAAATTTAAACAACATACACCACTAGTTTTAGTTAAACTTCTTGATACAACAACAACAACAAAGCCTTTTCCCACTAAGTGGGGTTGGCTATATGAATCCTAGAACACCATTGCACTCGGTTTTGTGTCATGTCTTCCGTTAGATCCAAGTACTTTAAGTCTTTCCTTAGAGTCTCTTCTTTGAATGTGTACAACTTAAGAAGTAGTTGCATCAAGTCTTCATGATTAGAAGATGGTGGTTGTTGTCATTAGTTCTCATTAGGTACAAATAGTTGCTAACAAGTCTTTTAGTAGCGGCACATATCAAAAGCAAATCTCACAAAACCTGGCTATGGTAAACCCAGTGAGACAAATCCATAGTCTAAGGAGAAAACTAAGTTAATGTAGGATCTCGATATTGTTTCACATCTCCAAGATGATCATTAACATACAAAAGGGTATGACCAACCCAAAGTAGATGTCTCGTCAAAACTTCGTCAGATTACCAAAAATCCTGTTAGGAAAAGTGCTCCTAATTGTAGGGATATAGTATATTAAGATCATGTGAGTATTCATTAGGATACTCCCCATGAGTTTGACAAAACTCCCCAAGAGAATACCGGTGATGCAAATCTAAAAGTTTATAGAATCCAATTTCATGAACAACCTTCTAAAAGGTTGACTTCGGCAGTGATTTTGTGAAAAGGTAGGAAACATTCCTGGGATTGGATATGCTTGACTTCAATCTTTTGAACTTGTTATTGCTGATGAATGAAGAACTTCATAGCAATAAGTTTGGCATTGTCTTCTTTGATGTATCATTTCTTTAATTTGTCAATACAAGCATCGTTGTCTTCATGAATCATTGTTGGAACGTCAATGATAGAAAAGCCACATGAGTTTCTTTTGTGATCAATCACGTCCCTCAACCAAAAATATTTGCGCGATGCTTCAGGTAGGGCTAGAACACGAATGTTATTTGAAGACGTACCAATCAACTCTTGTTTGATTGATCTCGAGATATTGTAGCATCTTCAACGGTACAGACATAACCAGTTTAAGAACACACCTTGTGTTGGTCAAGTGCATTGAGCCAAGTACAATAAAGTGCTGATTGCACTTAAGTATGGAACTATAGGTTCCAATATCCCTTTATCCTCGTCTGTAGAACAAAATAGGTCTCATTTTGCATTTAGAGCTCGAACAACCATGTGAGTACTCAAAAGCTTCGCTTTATCCTCATTAAAGCAACGTAACACATTTTAGGTGTCGTTCAATTGGTGGACTTGTATACCAAAGAATGCTTTACTCCTTGCAATTGGTCGAAGACAAAACTATCTCATCCATCAAACACCCCCTTTAATAAGTTTATGAAAATCATAACTAAATTTCGGATTTGTCTTCAGTAGTCTAAACTATTAGTAGTCCAACTTTTTATCCATTAGATTGATAAGTTAAAAAAATAGTATTTCATCAATTCAATCATGACCGTACATTTCTCAACTACTAATTGGTTCGGACTATTGCTGTAAAATTGTTGAATACCACTAGAACTTTATAAACGTTTTAATAGTTCACTCTAATTAACCGCATTTATTATTAATGGGCCTAATCTCAAACTTTTACAAGCATGGGCCAAACCATCAACACTATTACTTTCATGACCCGACCCGAATCGTCCCGACCACCCACCGCATAAACCAAAGACGCTATGTCAAAATTACAATCCCGACCCTCCCTCTTCCCCTCTCTCCTTCTCTCTCTGCTCGTCGTCCCTGCAAGCAAAACTCTCGGTGGAGAAATGGGGGCTGGGCGCGAAGTCCAAAGCTCGCTGGACGGGCTGAGAGACAAGAACGTGATGCAGCTGAAGAAGCTCAACACTGCCCTCTTCCCAGTTCGCTACAACGACAAGTACTACGCCGATGCCCTCGCTTCCGGCGATTTCACCAAGCTAGGTTAAGCTTCGATTCTGGGTCTTCCTTATTTTTGCATAATATATCTGGGTTTTGTTTAATCTTGCATTATGTTTTACGGCTTTTGTTTAATTTTGCATAACATTTTTTGGGTTTTGTCTAATTTTGCACACCATTTTCTGGGTTTGCTTATTTTGTGTTACTACTGTAGATTTTGTGCAAATTCCCTGAAATTTCTTGTGGTTCTTGCTTATTTTGTAAAATGTTTGATGGGATATAAAATTTGAGCTTCTAATTAAGTTCTAATTACTGTTGTCTTTGTGTATTTCGAGGTTTCTGTTCGTTCTGCGTATTTCATAGTCTTTCTTGTTGTTTGTTTGCTTCGGGTCATCCGAAATGGAATTTGTTTATGGGTCGTGCTGGGAAGTATTGGGCTTTAGCTCATTGCATTTGGAAATGCTGGGTTTGGTCACTTGGATTTGGATACACTTTTGAAGAATGTCGACAACACAAATGTACAAGTAAATTGGGGATGAAAACTTATTGGTATGTCATGGATTTGGGTAGTTTTAGTTCTGATAGTAATGATTGGTTGGATTGTTATGTGTTTTAAGTCAATTTTTCTCCTTTTTGGTGTTCCAAAAAAAAAAAAAAAAAAAAAAAAAAACGAGAGTAACTACATATTTTTAAAGATAAATGACGATGTTCTGGTGCAGCATCAGTGAGGTACTTAAATGATTAGCTATCCCCTGGATTTTTATCGGTTCTTCAACAACAAAATTAGATGTCTTCTTTGATGAGTTATGTTCTATTAGGCATGCAAAGAGGGTCATTACGAATGGAGAAGTGGGTGGGACAGTGGCTTGGGCATTTTTGAAGGTATCCTGTTATGAATTGTATGTGCTGAATGCTCGTGAGAGGACCAAATTGAGACTATTATTTAACAAGCTTATTCGCTGAGCCATCAAAGTCCATTTCTTATGATTTCTAGATGAATCTGCATATATTGTCTAAAACTAGATTGATAATCGTATGTAAACACGATTACAAACTTATTGTGTAGGTATACCCTTGATTTATCATCCTTTGGATTTTTTTTCCTTCTTTAGCACTCGTGTCTATGCTGGAGTTGACTACTTGCCAAAGTGACAAACAGTATGAAAGTTTAAAGTTTAATTCCTGCTATTATTTGTATACAGCATATTTCAGTGATATATGCGTTGGTGCAATTGCATGCCGGCTTGAGAAAAAGGAAAATGGAGCTGTCCGCGTGTACATCATGACATTGGGAGTTTTAGCACCATACCGTGGACTAGGCATTGGTAAGCAAGCAATGTTCTTCATATTATAGCTTTGGTGTGGCATTGTGGTCGAAATACATGATCCATGCTTTGATTAAGTTTGCCTTCTGAATACAAACTTGAGTTGTCAAGAAGTCTCCTGCTTTGTGGTGGTTCTGTTGACTGGTAAATATTGGCTTAATCTGGATATTTGCAACTGTGCAAATTTTCTGATCTAAGTTCTGGGATTTTTGCAGGTAAAAAACTGTTGAACCATTCTCTTGATCTGTGCGCCAAGCAAAATATTTCCGAAATTTACTTGCATGTTCAGACAAACAATGAGGACGCCATAAACTTCTATAAGAAATTTGGGTTCGAAATCACGGAAACCATCCAGAATTATTACACGAACATTACCCCTCCAGACTGCTATGTGCTCACCAAGTATATTACTCAGACAAAGAAATAACATGTCCAAGCTATCAAATGGGGTGCTGTTCAATTAAATTTTGGTCTGTTTTATTTCTCAATTATGCTGGATATTGTCTAGTTGTTAAGAGTTATAAAAAGGTCGTACCCAGTGCACAAGGCTCCCGTTTTACGCAGGGTCTGGGAGAGGTGAATGTCGGCTAGCCTTACCCTCATTTATGGAGAGGCTGCTCCCAAGTCTCGAACCCGAGACCTACCGCTCATGGGCGAAGACACTTGCCATCGCACCAAGTGCGACCTCTTAGTTGTTAAGAGTTATAAACTAGCTAAAATTTATTGGAAGCTGAGTTATGTGATGGTTCATATGCGATGTTTCCGGTGAAACGATTGTTGGTTTTTTATTGGATTAGCTTATGATCATATGGAAAATTTTATAATTTCGGGGCCTCCGGCACGTTAACAAAACCCTTTCCGGCTTTTCTTTATGAAGTGTGTTGATATTTTGGAAATGCAATTCTGTAAGCAGGCAGCATGCATACAGGGATGAATGGACATCACTCTTTTGATGATTTATTTTCTGCTTTGTTCTCTCTATTTTTGCACTCGGTATTACAGGTGGAAGAAACGGAAACTGAATGAATAACGTAAAATCTCTTCGGTTACAATGTATTACTATGAATCATCAGAAGTTCCTTTATTCCTTCAACTATTTCTCAAGAGTTGGGGCAGACCAGACGTACGAGGAGGAAAGATACATGCTGCTTCCGGACTTTACAATACTTGATATACGAACTACATCATATTGACATTACAACAACTTTGCTTATTTTTCCATATGTACAAATTGGAAGGTTGGCAGTGCGTGAGCAAATGTCTCTGTTAGAGTGATCGTCGATCGATAGCTGCCTTGAATGTTCAATAAGCCAAACCACCGGCAAAAGCATCTCCGTCGTGAAGTACACTCTCTGTCAGCCAATAACCATCCCATGACCCTCCAACCCTCTGCCAACAAGAAGCTACAGATCAATACGGGTATAACTATAGTTCCCATGGTTCAATCGTATAAAACGCATATGATCCATATCGATACAGGGCTAACCTAGTTTACAAAATCAAAATCACAGTCCTACTTTCGGATTCAATAATAGTTCCTTGACTAGCACTCTACCGACTATACAGTTCCATATTACGCTTTACAGACCGTGCCTGCCGTGAAGCACTGCAGACGGCAGACATTATTTTTCGGTTAGATACAGCAACCAGTGGATTCCTATACTTTTTCCGTTTTGGCGGGGTGTGAAATCCGGTATTCAGAATATGTCCGTAGGTTTTACAACACAACTTATATGCATGTTTTGTTGCCTCGTAAATATGACATGTTCATCATTCATCTATTCCCCTTAAGAAACTATGCAAAGCGAAAACATCTTCACTAACCTGAACCATTGTGAATTGAAATATTTCTTCTTCCTCCGGCCGACATCCTCTTATCCAAACCCGCTGCTTGAATAGGTTCTAGCTCCCAGTCGCAATTCATTCAACAAAGATATCGAATTAGAAACGCAATTAAACGTGCAACAACACCAGAGGACTCGGGTCTAGTATGGCAACTCTAAGTTAGCTCAAAGTTACATCACATATAAGTTAGTTAGTGGAATCAATCAACGTACTCATACCTCCTCCACAAATAAACTGCTCAACATCTTCCTCTCTTTATGACCTAACAACACTCTATATGTTGAATGGTGAAAAATTCGCCTAAATCGTTCAAACTGCACACATAGCGAATCACCCAACCAAGAGAAAACCATTAGCTACAAATATCACTAGGGGGAGTAATTTCCGCAGATTTCTCCTTCCCATGCACACCCCTGTTTACCTGGACTTTGGAATGAATAAATCCAAGGAGAACTAGGCGACAAGAATTAACAGGGTTATGCAGAAGGAGAAAAAAGGCGTGCGGAAATCATTTGATAAATACAGCTTGCACCAACCTGCCCCAAATCAAAGAATGGCCCGAAATAGGTGGACCTCTCAAAAGGATCAAACCCAGCAAACTATGAACACAATAAACCAGGAAACAAAACATTAAGAATCCAAAGCCAACCCATTTCTTCGTGTCAAAAATAAATCCAACCCAAAAAAGTAGAAGAAATTGAGAAAGTTTACCCTGTACATGACCTCGATGCCATAATCCGGGCGGGGTTGATCGTTGTACTTGAGGGCATCCAGCTGATGCTGAACAGCTTCTTCTGCGCTAAACTAGAACACAAGTCAACAAATTATATCACATAAGCAGAGAGAGGAACTTCAACGAATGAAATCATTTAGTTTTCCATACGATCAGATGATTACATTTAATCTGGGGCCAAAGGGCCTCTTCTTCCGGGATTCCAGCCTGCAAATTCCAAGATCGTCATCAGCTATGTATCAATCAATAGGAGTGAGAGAGAGAGAGAGAGATATATATATATATATATATAGAGAGAGAGAGAGAGAGAGAGAGAGAGAGCGAACCAATCGGCTGAGAGGAAATCAGGAACGTCAGCAGCGCAAGCTCTGAATCGAGAGCTTGGAGATTTGGTTTTGGAAAGGAGAAACAGAGAGTGCGGAGATGACAGGGAGGAGCAAAACGACATGCTTTAAGCCGAGATAGATACTCTCTCTATCTCTCTCTCTCTCTCTCTCTCTCAAGTCTAATCTCTACAGTAGTAATGAGAATGGTGGAAATTTGGGAAAGCGGAGAGAGGATGGAGACTCCAATGGAGAGGGCGAAAATTCAGTGTCTGAGGATGAGGATGTTGGATGTTGGATGTTCGTAACCGCTGATTTGATGTCCACCGTTGGATTGACCAAAATACTTTTAAATTTGACAAATTAAAGCAAAATTCCAGATTTAAACAAAAAAAATGTTTGCTGGCGTACCCGTTATTTGTCTTCATACCATATGTCCGATTGTCTTCTGCTGACTACCCATCTTTCTTAAGTTCACAAGCAACAGAAGAAAAAAGGGAACTCTCTTCACCTCTAGAGAGAGAGAGAGAGAGAGAGAGAGAGATGAGTCTGAAGAAAAAACCCAAGGCAGTAATAGTGGGAGGGAGCATAGCAGGGGTATCATGCGCACATACGCTCGTATTAACAGGGTGGAACGTTTTGGTGGTGGAGAAATCATGTGCTCCCCCAACTGGAAGCCAAACTGGGGCAGGACTTGGCCTTGACCCTCTCTCTCTCAGACTCATCCAGTCATGGATTCAAGACCCTGAGCTTCTTCACCAGACCACTCTGCCCTTTACAATTGATCAGGTACAAAACACAATTCCTCATTTCTATTTTGTTGGTCTGTGATTAGAATGCTGATGATGCTTATGCAAAAGTAACTCGTAATTTTTTTTTAAAAATATGTATACACATGTTAATCTGTGATTTGTTAGTTTTCTGACAAGCTCGAAAATTTTTGTTGCTAGAATGATGCCATAGATGGTGAGAAAAAGGTGAAATGGACACTAACTAGAGATGAGGAGTTGAACTGTAGAGCAGGACATTGGGGTGACCTACATGCTCTTCTATACAATGCACTTCCACCAAACCTATTTCTTTGGGGTCACCGTTTCCTATCTTTCTCCATTTCTAGTGACAAGTCTTCAGTTATAGTGAAGGCTTCATCCCATGAAACCAATGAAGTCATTGAAATCATCGGTGATTTGCTCATTGCAGCGGATGGATGTCTCTCTTCGATCCGCCAAAGTTTTGTTCCTGACCATAAACTGAGGTTTGTTACTGTCAAACGTCAACCATTTTCATGAAAGCTTTCATATTTTGAGCTTGTAGTGTGTAGTGATCTTTTGATATTGTGTGTGCTGCTTTAGGTATTCGGGTTATTGCGCATGGAGAGGGGTGCTTGATTTTGCAGGAAATGAGAATTCAGAAACCATAATCGGCATCCGAAAGGAATACCCTGAGCTTGGAAAATGCTTGTACTTTGGCTTAGGTTCTGGGACTCACACTGTGCTGTATGAGCTTCCGAACCGAAGGCTGAATTGGATTTGGTATGTCCATCAGCCCGAACCTGATCTGAAGCCTAACTCGATGACCATGAAGGCGAGCAGCGACATGATCCAGAGTATGCACAAAGAAGCAGAGAAAATGTGGCTTCCGGAGTTTGTGAGAGTGATCAGAGAAACAAAAGAGCCCTTCATCAATGCTATATATGACAGCGACCCCTTGGAAAAAATCTACTGGGACAATGTGGTACTAGTTGGAGATGCAGCACACCCCACAACTCCTCATGCCTTAAGAAGCACGAACATGTCGGTGCTAGATGCTGCGGTGTTAGGTCAATGCTTGAAGAAGTGGGGAGCAGAAGATTTGCAATTTGCTCTTGAAGGATATCAATCAATTCGATTACCAGTCGTGCGTAAACAAGTCTTGCACGCAAGGCGAATGGGTCGGATTAAACAAGGCCTTGTTCTTCCTGATCGCCAGCTTTCCAACCCCGAGACCGCTAACCCAGAAGAGTGTCACGAGCTTCAGCAGAAACTCATGCCCTTTTTCACCGATGTTCCATCCATACTACTTTAATTCAAATGTTATGCACCGGATAATCGTCAAGACAGATCGTCCTGATTCCGATTCCGTTGCTCTGTAGCCAATAAAGCATGATATCCGTTCGGAGTCTTGTTCGATCTTTGTATATGCACGTATTAAAGTTTGAACCTGAAACTATTTGAACACAATATTGAGCATTCGAAACAAAGCTGTATAGAAACCGACCTTAATCGATGCATACAAAGATCATTCTGTTATTCGTTCAAAACTAAGATAAAATTGTTTACCACCATGAATGAGGAAATGCCTAACTCATTCTCCCACAACTCACTCCCAACAGATTAAATACAGCCTAAGATTGATACAATAGGGCAAGATGGTATCTCCACGGCAGTTTTAACATTCCTATCACTAATGATGAAAAGAACAAATTACAGAATTCATTTGCGCATGCACGTAACACTGTCGTAATGTGATGCCAAGTTTTACCGAGCAACGGAATCATCATTTTGAAGGCCATGTTGCTTGAGCTGACATTATGATTCCCACGATGACTCCGAACAATCCAAGTGCGCTGCCGAAGATCTCAATCACAAGGATCTTCACAAAAAGTGAGGAGTTTTGGGCATCAGACAATGCACAGCTGCTTCCAATAATTCCCACACATAACCTGTCACAAAATCACAACAAAATCATCATATTGTATAGTCATCAAAATTTTTCAAAACTCCATATACAGGAACGTGATAGAGAAGGATAAAGATATTAACCCGCAGACAAGGTTGGCAAAGCCCACGATAATCCCAGAGGCAAAGATTGCATATCCAGCTCTAAGAGACTCGGGCGCATATATCTTTGACGTTGGAACACTCTCCAACTTTGTTTGTAGAATAATTGCAACAATAACACCATATATAGCAACAGCTTCACAAAAAATAACACTGCAACAGAAAATGCATCCATTCCAAGTCAGTCCCAAATCGGATCATCTTAATGTCACACTTCAAAATTTACAACCAGCAGTGCTACATTAAAGTAGAGAAATTCAAGGTACATCGTTAACAATAAGCAAATTTCTTAATTTGTGTTAAGAAACAGGTTTTACGAGGGTTTAAATAAATAGCATAATTCTCCATCCATCAATCAATTAACACAGCTAGTTTTAAGAATTTCCGTTCACAAAAGATAAAACTGAGACAACCAATGCATCCAGTCCAAGTCAGTCGTGAAACATCATCATCTTGATCTCACACTAAGTAATTCACAATCAGCAGAGTTACGTTAAAGTTCAAATATTCAAGGTGCATCGTTGAGACAAGCAAAAATCCCACATTGGTGTTAACTGTTAAGAAACAGTTTTGGGCGTGTTCGAATGGATAGCACAATTCTCCATCCATCAATCAATTAAACAAGATGGTTATTAGTGCATTTGCGAATAAAAACACGACCCAATTTTCAATTAAGATTTTTGATCAACTATCGATTTCAATTACTGGGATGCTACTCCAGACCATCGAGATAATCCCAATTGTCTGGGATTCACATTTACTATAAGTTTGCTATATTACTCCAAATCTAATAGCAGAAGCTAAAATTTAACGAAAATGCAAGAAAAATTGCAGTAAATTCCGGAAATTTCATCACCTAATGAGATTCTTAGAAGTGATTCGAGGAGCCTTGATTGCTGCACCGATCAAACTGCTCCCAGTTATATAAATCCCCCTAATTTCCATCCAATAATATTCATCATCAGTAATTAATCCAAAGATTAGAACTTTAATTAAGAAATGGAGAGGAAACAAGGAAAAGGGAAAAACCAGGCCGCGCCGAGGACAGAAACGCCGATGGCGACGGCGATGCCGATAGCGGAGAAAGTGTAGGGAGAGATCTGGACGAGGGCGCGTGCCCAGGAGCTCGAGTAACCCACCGCTACTGCTGCACCTGACATTTTCAGAAACCCTAATCGTAGACGTGAAATTGTGGGGGAAGATTTGGGGAGGGGAGGAGAGAGTCGGGAGGGTGTCTGATCTGATTCGTGTGATGTGATGAGATGTAGAGGACGGAGATTGCTGCTTGACACGTGCTCGATGAGTGCGTGTTTTCTTCCAGCCGCTTATCTTTGGGCTGTATTTTTGGGTGTCTGGTCTGCTAGCTGAATGGGACTTACTTACCATCCCATTAGGATTCTCTCCATTCTTTTTTTCTCTTATTTCTTTTTTTTTTATTTGAATAGTTATAATTAAGTCAAGTTAACATTTTATGTTAACTTGTTTATATAAAAAGGACAAAATGAAGAGTGTGAGAGGAGTGGAGGAAACGGGATTGAAATAGAGGAGGAAAGAATCCTAGATCCTTACCAACATGAATGTAAATCTTGAAAGTTTTGATAGGATGAGTCATCCATATTTCATTGGGTAGAAGACAAGTTGAAAACTAAGAAGTGGGAACCAAGTGAAAAGAGAAATAGAAAATAAAAACGTTGTTCAAACAAACAAAATCAATACATTTACTGACAAATTTCAATAGAGATGAGATTTCCTATAGCATGATTAGTTTTATGTGTTTAAATAGCAGTACTTAACAAAAACTCAGGTTGAGTTAAGCATACTCAAGCTCGAAGTGATGACTTCCACTGCATTTAGGTGTCAATCTATCGCTAATTTATGTCCCTCCCCTTGCCCTATATCTTAAGCTAAAGGGTAGTCATAGACCACTTAAAACATAAGTGAGAATTGAGATTTTGCATTTGCACTTTGGAGCACAATTATAGGAGTGTTAAGGTTTATATGAAGTTTTGTTGAGTTTTTAATTAAATTCATACACTTTCGCGGATTTAGTAGGCTTTTACTAACTATTATAAACTCTATAAAATTTTGTAGACTTTTATAAATAGACTTTTAGGGTAAAAACGAGTAAAATGAATGACTTATGCATAACTCTAAAGAGATAAAAAAAAATTAAACTTTGTGGATTTTCATGGAATTTTTATCATTTGTTGTAAATATCTTTTTTTTTTTTGAGTTTTTATTATTGAAGTAGTGATCATGACCATGACAAAGTAGTCTTATCAAGTGATAGTGTGGCTATGATGGTGGTGGAAGTGTCGCGTGGTGATTTTGGCAAGATGGTAGTAGTAAAAATGGTGTCTTTGGTGGCGGTAATAATATTAGGGGTGGTGATTGTGTGAGTGTCGGGGTGGTGGAAGAGTAGGGATGGGGGTGGTGATGATGGTTGTGACATGGTGGTAGAAGTGGTGATAGTGACAACCATAACGTTACGCTGGGTGGTGGATTATCATTAGAGAATTGAGAAAAAAGTGAAATCCACCAAAATTTTGGGGAGAGATTGGATTTGCTAGGACAAAAAACTTACTATAAAGCCACTAAAAGTTTATCAAAATCCATAACTTTTTAAAATCATTTAAAGTACCTAATTTTGGATACACCTGCATTTTTGTAGTCACAAAGTGTCATAATTGAATACCACAAGATTTTCATGTACTTTTTAGAAGTCATAAAAAGTCTATATTCAATACAGGCTAACTTTTGTTAACTCAAGTCTAAATAAATCATTTTGGTGAACATTAATACAAGTTTACTTAATGACAAACTATTAATTTTTAAACATGAATGACAAATTAATCATTAGTTAGGGAATGAAATCTCTCTCAAGAACAAATAGCTGCAAGTTTTAGCAGAAAACGAAAAGAAACTATACAGCATAAGAGTTTTCTATATATGCTAAGGTAACCCCAATCTAGTAACCCTGTAAATCAATGGGGAAACAATTTCAAACGAACAGATCGTAGAAAACATAAGAATAATTTAATGGATCATGAGATTTTCATTTTCCTCAATATAGAAGAATTAGTTTTTCTGGTGCCTGTAAACATGGACACCCTTTCTCTTACTTACTACAAGGAACACACGTAACACAAAACCAACCAATAAATAATAGTACTCATCGTTATCAAACATCCCAATTTCTGTAATCTTACATCCTAACAATATGGCCGAGCTTATCACATTCATCTGCAAACGAACCGTGGTGAGCACGAAGCCTGTCCAAGCCGGAAAAACCTACCCCCTATCCGTTCTTGACCGCCACATGGAAGTGAACCACCTTAGGATGGTGTTGTACTATCCATCAACTGGATTGCCAACAAAGCCTGGTGAAATCACAACGAAGCTCAGAGAGTCCCTCGCGGTAACGCTTACTAATTATCCGATAATCACAGGCCGGTTGCAGAAGAATGACAAAGAGCAGTGGATGATAAAGTGCAATGATGCGGGCGTGAGAATGATTGAGGCTAAGGCCAGAGGGAGTTTGGAGGAGTGGTTAAGAAATGTGGATAGGGAGAAGGAGCTTATGCTTGTTTATTGGGAGGAAATGTACCATAAGCCTTATTTTTGGTCTACATTTTATGTTCAGGTAATCATGTTAGTACTCCTCTGCAATTGAGAATAGCTTCTCTATCTCCGTTTGTACACAATTGTGTGTATTTCTCTTTCAGCATGTAGATTAATCACGTGATGAGATAGATACGTAGTTGTGTACAATTGATTATACTTAAGATTTTCTTCTTGTAACAGAAAAATATTCTCTTAGTAAATAGTTCGACATGCTGTGTAGTCTAATTGAACATTAGTAGGATCGGTTTCTTGCTACATAGTGTTTAGATTGATAGTCGGACAATATATCATTTTCTTCGTAATAACATGTAGAAGCGTTGTCTCTTTTTCGTGTGTTTTCTTGTGTGCAGCTTACTGAATTTGAGGATGGTGGACTAGCAATTGGGCTAAGTTGCACTCATCTCCTTGCAGATCAAACTTGTGCAACCATGTTCATCAAAGCTTGGGCCAACACAACACTCTTCAGCAAAATGATGCACCCTCCATTTTTTTACCCGTTGCCTCAGCGGAGGCCGGGAAACAGAAAGCTGAACCAAAAGCCCTACACTGCCTTGATCAACCACTACAAAACCTCCATCAGCAAGTCAATTCACATCGTAGATGCAAAACACACGACTGTTACTCTCGTTTTTTCGGACGACATGGTTCGGGCTTGCATTGCCATGGCCCAGCCCATTGATGGAACTGACAAATCAAGCCCAACACCGTTTGAGGCCCTTTCTGGGCTCTTTTGGGTTTGTATTAGCAAGGTAAAAGGAGTGAGAAATGGGCTTGTTGACATGTCTATACGCATGGATATGAGAAAAGTTTTGGGGTTAGATAAAGGCTTCTTTGGAAATTGCATGGTTTATAATAAGGTTCATCTAGAGGGTTTCCAAGAAGATAATTTGTCACAAGCTGCAAGTTCTATAGGTGAAGTAGTGGCAAAAATGGACCGTGAGGGAATCATGGATTTGATCGAGTGGCTTGTATGTAAGGATGATCGATCTCAGTCCTTCATGAACGGTTGTGATCTCATCTGTGCTAGCCTAGAGGGCGTAGACCTATTCTCGATTATTTTTGAAGATGTGATAGTACCAATTCGTGTGTCGTGTTATGTTGAGCCAGTGTCCGGATTAGGGCAAGTTTTGATCCTTCCGGCGAAGCCAGGCGATGGTGAGCTAAGTAGGGTGGTAATGGTTACGCTTCCACGTGATGAGGCCATAAAAATGTGTGAACACGATCTTATTTTACGCCTCTCACCGACCATCTTGATGGATGTGAATAAACCCTAGCTGGGTTTAGTACAAGGGTCGCACTGTTTCCCAATAAACATTGACAATTGCTAGTCTTTAAGTAGAATCCCAATACATAATGTCGCTAAAATGATAATCCATGGTCATAATTTGATTTAGTAGTCAGTACAATTTATCTGAGTGTCAAATAATACACATTTATGACAAACCGTTCAACTTTTTATTTTTTTATGTTTTTATTTATTTTTTAAAATTTTGTAGGCCGTATTTCGTATACACTAAAAACAACTGAAGTATAATACATACCACGAGACTATATTTCAGATACACCCAAAAATTCCTCTCCATAAGATGCTTATGATCGTAAAGATTGTGACAAGCAGTATAAAGCAGTATAAGTTAACCCATGAAAATGACACATTTCATGCTGCTACTAAATTAGTGCAATTGGAATATATTGTTTTACCTGCTCCTCACAATTAATTAAAGGATAGCCGTAGCATGGAAAGCATGCAATATTTTATCAAATCCGCCCACCAATTTCGTTATTTTTCTTGTAACATATTGTGTAATTTCTCCTTAGAATATATACCACCTCACAATTCATCGTTCTATTCCACATTTCCACAGCATGACGTGTTATATATTTCTACCACAGCAGGCTACATGCAATGTATTTGTAAATTAAACTGGTATTTATTTATATTTTTTGTTATAAAGAAAGGTTTCGAATGCTGGTTTTCTAGTATTTCTGTTAGTTGTTTTTATTTTTCTCTTTATTTTATTATGTATGGCGACTAAACTATATGGGTGCATTGCTCACCCACACTAACTCTAGGGTATGCTCACCACCCCTCTCAATGCTTGCCATGTGTAATCCATACTAACTCTAGTTAAGCCTTATTTTTATTTTATTTTTACTTTAATTAATAGGTGAGAGAATCCAACTTTTACTTATTTACTTCCATATATATACTTCCTTTTTGAATACAAACCGACTCATCTTCTCTCCTTTTTGAATATATACCAATTCAACCTTGCATGTGTATCTGGATTTTCCATTTGCTATGCTTTTCCATTTGCTACGTATCTGGATTTTCCAAAATCGTAAAAATACAATTGTTTTAGATGAAACTCATCAAAATAAAATTGTACAAAAAGCTAGTCCAAAAAATACAATTGTTTGAGATGAAACTCATCAATATCCAACAAAATACAATTGTCTGAGATGAAACTCATCCAAATAAATTTTTACAAAACTAGTAGGTTGAATATTCTCCACTTCAAAGGTTGTCGTTCCAAAAAAATTTCTCTAAATTCTATTACAACTTGATCTAAGATGTTGATGGATTTGAAAATTTCAGTTCAAGAGTGGTTCCCAGAGGTATTGGTTGAATGTTTGATGTTGATGGATTTGAAAATTTTAGTTAAGGAGTGCTTCCCAGAGGTATTGGTTGAATGTTTTCCTGCAAATTAATAGAAAGGAAAAAATTACTTATGAAA